TGCCGAGTCTCCCGACTGTGGTCTGAAGATCGTGCCCGTTGGCATGAACTACTTCCATGCCCACAAGTTCCGCAGTCGTGCCGTAATCGAGTTCGGCCCCCCCATCGAGATTCCCCCTGAATTGGTCGACAAGTACAAGAACAACCAGAGAAGAGAGGCGATTGGCCAGCTTCTCGACACCGTCTACCAGTCCTTGAGCGCTGTCACCGTCTCCACGCCCGACTACGACACCTTGATGATGCTCCAGGCCGCTCGCCGTCTCTACAACCCCACCGGAAAGAAGCTGCCACTGCCTGTGGTGGTAGAGCTGAACCGCAGACTCGCTATGGGGTACGAACGATACAAGGACGACCCGCGCATCAAGGACGTGATGAAGTCGGTCAAGGAATACAACAAGCAGCTCCGCTACGTCAACCTCCGCGACCACCAGGTCCAGTACGCCAAGATGTCCACCCCCAAGGTCATCTTCACCCTCTTCTACCGCATCGCAAAGCTTCTGGTCCTCTTGATTGGCGTGCTCCCTGGCCTAGTGCTGTTTGCCCCCGTCTTTATTGCATCGAAGGTCACTAGCGTTCGCAAGGCGAAGCAGGCACTGGCTGCTTCGACGGTCAAGGTCCAGGGACGCGACGTCATGGCGACCTGGAAGCTTCTCGTGGCCATCTTCCTCGCCCCTACGCTGTACCACTTCTACTCGGCCATCGTCACGTACAAGGTGTGGAAGGACCACCTCTGGGGACACGTTCCCGAGTGGGTGCCCTGGTGGACGACTTACCTTGTCATGTGGCCGTTGATGGTGGGCATTACGTTCGCTGCTTTGAGATTCGGCGAGGTCGGCATGGATATCTTCAAGTCACTGAGGCCTCTGGTCCTGTGCCTGAACCCTACGTCCAGCTACAACATCCACCAGCTCCGTGCGAAGCGAGCGGAGCTCAGTGTCCAGGTTACCGATCTTATCAACACCCTTGGCCCCGAGATGTTCCCCGACTTTGAGAAGACGCGCCTGGTTGCCGACCCGTACAAGATGGACGGCTACAGACCGCGCACTCCTCCGGCGCGCCGCGACAGCGACGCATCCAGCGCCTACGACTCGGCCACCCCACCCTCTGCGAGGAGGGCGACGACACAGTCCAGTCGTGGCCTGCCCCGCAACGAGTCTTACAGCAACATTGGCGGCGTTGGCATCTTCTCTACGCGGCCTCCTTCCCGGTCCAGAAGTCGCAGCAGCAGCAGTGGTGGCGGTCTCAACTCGGGCGGTTTCCCCATCAGCGGCTTTACCACGCTGGATTCCGCCGGTGGATTTGACGAGGCTAGCAGGAAGATCCGCGAAGCCATGAAGCTGCGTCGGAGGAAGAGCGGAGATCACAAGATGGAGCTGGGTGCTGACGAGAGCGAAGACGAGGAGTACAATGAGGCGTGCAAGAAGAACACATAAAGTATACCAGGTTTCAACAATTTAAGGGATGTACGGGGAGGTGCACGAAATGATGCGACTAATACAAAAACGGGTTGGGAGAGACGTGTTGTGTGTGTATAGACAGCGATGACACTGGACGGTATTGATTCCCATTTTTCGTCTGCAAATTAGCATTAGTTGAATGACCAAACTTGAACCGTGAAGACGTAAGCGGCTTTGTGTTTTGAAACGTGCGGCTCGCAACACGCAAGTTGTTTGTTACGGAGCCAATGGCATGCTTGGAGATGACAACGCCGGCGGTAATGTCACCCACGGGGAATGACCGGGGCGACATCACAGTTAACCCCGGCGATGGAGAAGGAGAACGCCGAGTATCTCCGCCGTCTGGCAGGATCTGATAACTCAAAAGGACCCAAGGCGCACCAGGTCACGGACATTTCGAGACGGTTGGGGGTGGCTGGTATGACGCTATATGAGACGAATCGCACGCGTGGCCTCGACCCGGCACGGAATGCCGGCGCAAAGGCTGTAGTGAGCCACATTCTTTTGCAGATTGTCTTTTGGCTTGAGAAAGCAAGATAAGTCCGAGTCAGACTCGGCGATACGAGGCCCCCATGGGGAGGGAAGCATTAATAAGGAGCCGCGCGGGAGTTGGTGCCAGCCCTCAGAGAAGAGAGCAATTGTCTCTGACCCGGCGATAAAAAAGCAGGAGACGGCCATTGGCTCGGCGCGCGGAGATCCCACTTGCACCGGCCGGTTGAACAAGCCGAACAGCTACCTCCGGATTTCGTTTGAGTCGTGGGTTGTGTTGGGGTTTTTTGTTTGGAGGGGTTGTGCTGTTTGTCCAATCATCCCGTCGGTATTGTTCGTAATTCCCCCTCCACCCCACTTCCCGCCACTACAGCTACGGTAACGGAGACGCACTACTGTGACCTGAGGGTGTTCCAGTGTCCGAACGGGTGGGCCGGCCGCAGTTGCCCGTTCCCCGATCCTTTCTACCCCCGCCACGGGCTTAAGGCAGGCGCGATTCAGCCCTGAGGCGAAGAGGCGGCTCTCGACCCTAAAGGACCTAAGTGTCCCTTCCCCGACTTCCTTTCTCCCTTTTTCTGCTCAGGAGGGGGGTAATTTTCCATTCAGCAATCTTCTTTTCTTCTTTTCGCAAGGGAGACCGACAGACACAATCCCGACGACGACGAAACAATGGTCTTCAAAACCCTCATCAACGGCGCGCGCAAGCTCGCGCTCGGCGAGGCCAGCGTCCCTGCCACGGAGCTATTCGCCAAGACGGATCCGGCCGTCGACGGCGACGAGTGCAAGCACGACTGCGAGAGCTGCCACGTCAAGTACCCCAAGGGCTTCAAGATCGACGAGGGCGACGAGCTGTACGGGCACGTCAAGGGGTGGGCGACGCACGCGCTCGTGGCGACGGGGAAGAGCGACTGGGTAAGGGACGTGGCGGACGAGAAGGGCAGCGTGATGGAGGCGATTGGGAGGGCTGCTGCGCCTAGTAACGGGGTATGTTTGCCGGTGGTAGTGTGACAAGCGGGAGAGGATGCTGACTACCGCAGAAATTAATGCTCTCCGCCTCCAACATCCCCACGCCGACACACCACAACGACTACGCCGAGCCCACGACCGTTCTCCTCCTCCCCGCCTTCGTGATCATCGACCACGTCACCCCGAAGCGCGTACCGGAGCTCATCACCGAGTTCGTCGACAAGGCGCCCACGAACACGGACCCGCTCGCGCCGCTGGCCCTGCCGGCCTCCGTCCCCGTCGCATCCACAAACGGCACCGAGACCGGCGACGCTTCTTCTCTGGCGATTCCCCCGCAGATGTCCCGCCGCCCGTGCCCGCACAGCGCGCTCATCCTGCTCTGCTCGCAGAAGACGCGGGACGCGCGCTGCGGGCAGTCGGCGCCGCTGCTCCGCAAGGAGCTCGAGCGCCACCTGCGGCCGCTGGGCCTGTTCCGCGACATGGACGACGAGAGGCCTGGCGGGGTGGGGATTTACTTTATTAGCCATGTGGGCGGGCATAAGTACAGTGCGAACGTGATGGTGTACCGGCGGCCGGACGCGTTTGGGCTGGACGAGGTGGAGAGGGCGAAGGGAGAGGAGATTAAGGTGCAGCCGAAGGTGGTGCTTCCGGAGGAGGAGGATGTGGGGGCGGCGCAGTGTATTTGGCTGGCGAGGGTGAAGCCGAAGGATTGCGAGAATCTGGTGCGGTATACGATTTTGCAGGGGAAGGTTGTCAAGCCGGAGACGCAGTTGAGGGGTGGGTTTGATCGGGCCAAGGGGTTGATGAGTTGGTAGGGCGGGTTAGGAGATACCGGCGATAGAGAGACATTGGTTGGCAGGAAATGTAGCTGTGGGCTATGAAGTTATGGGCACGCGGTGGTGGCATGGAATTAGAACCGGACCATTGGGTTGGCGTTGGTGGATATAGACACGGATTCGGTGAATCCTCGCAGGCCAGATGGTAATTCAAGATTTAAAGTTCTCCGCCAGCGTCGCAAACGATTATGATGTTTTCGCTCCGAAATTATGGAGGCGATCAGAGAAGAATACAACGCATCTACCAGACATGGTTGTGTTCGCCGAGGGCAACATACAATGCATTGTTGAACAAAGAATCCGAGTCCTACTTCTTTGTGTAAACTCACGAAATATGAATACATATCCTGTGCAACACTGACAAAATCACCATCAACTGCACGTCATGCTGCTAGACCCAGCAGACAAGACCCAGGACCCTGATGACGTTCTGGCGTTGGAAGAACTACACAAAACGAAAGGTCCCCGCCAGACTACAACCTCCGTCTCGACGCCGACTCCGCCGGCGCGGCCCCACTCCTGCCGGGCCGCCCCGCACGAAAAAAAACAGACCAAAATGCAGTGAACCCCAAGCTGCAGGCGCGTTGCACGGCCGATAAGATAAGGCGGGCACGTCCAACGGGGGGGAAGGCCCACCCGTCACCCAGGCGACGGGCCAGGATAAACATCGCTGGCCACCATCGAGCACCTTACCAACCACATTGTACGAGTAGCTCACCGACTACCTACCTTACCACCCACAGCACAGCACCGCACTGCCAGCCCGTCCCGTTACCCGTGTGTGTGTGTCCCATCTTGCCGCCCCCCCAAAATCCTACCTACGCCTCTCCCCCCGTCATCCTCCCCCCGAAACTTTTCTTATTGCAACGACAAACAATAGCAATTCCGCAACCCGGGTCGACAGTCTGGCTTTACGCCAATCTCCCTCTTCCCAAAAGAGCGTTGCAGCATCATCTTCTTCCTCTTCCCCAACAATGGTGTGAGCCGAACGAAGCACCAACAGCTGTTCGGGGCGAGACTTCATCATCACACAGAAAGCATTGGACTTACTGACGTCTGTTGTTTTTACTTTCCAACTGCCGCCCACCCTTCTCCAATATCCTTTCCGCTAGACTGGGCAACGGGCGACGGTCCATCACACGAAAAACTTGGCTAGCATTCCATCCGGGCATTGTTTTCATCCAAACCTGAACCAGCAGGACCCTGTCTCTCCTCCACCACCCCCCCGCGAGCCAAAGCCCATTCCCACGACAATGGGCTCCGCTGTCGAAGGCGATAACAATGGGGGAGGACCAGTCGAGAGCGGCCGCCGCCCCAGGTCCTCCGTTCTCAAAAGCTTCATCCACCGACGTAACCAGTCTGAGGGCTCCGCGCTCTTCACGTCCCCGCCGTCCGTCCAGATCACAACAACAACAACCACCACCACCTCCTCCTCCCAACACATCCAAGCCGCCTACGACCGCCTCGAGGGGAAGATGCTGCCTCCGCCGTCTCCCCTCCGCACCGAAGGCTTCGGCGCCCTCGGCGAGCTGAACGGAAACTCCCAGCAGGGCGGCTCCCCGCGGAAGCTGCCAGACGACGACCGACGCGACCGATCACGCTCCCCGACAAAATCCACCTTCAGCACCCTGTCCCTCAAGGGCCTCACCAAGGAAGCCCGCAAGTCCCGCGACGTGTCCCCCGAGAAGCCCAAGAAGACAAAGTCCAGCACGAACCTCGCCGGCTTCCTGTCGCGCCCCAAGTCGACGCTGTCCCTCAACAAGACCTCCTCCAAGGAGAAGGAGGACGAGCGCCGCATGGCCAAGGACAAGGAGAACCGCACCCCGCCGAGCTCGACGTCGAGCGCCGACATGTCCGCCAACGGCGTCGGCGGGCCCGCGCCGCCCATATACGCGCAGTTCTGCAGCCAGGATCTCGGGAGCACGGGGCTGCGAGGGAAACAGTCGTTTGACCACGGCAGCGGGCGATACGGGAGCGAGGCGTCGTCAAATGACGCCATGGCCCCCAAGAAGCAGCGGCCCAAGTCGTATCATCCGTCCACGGCGATATCGAAGCACGAATCCACACAGGACCTGCGTAGTAGGCCACCGGCTAACGGTCGGGAGCCGTCTTCGTCAGAGAGGATCACCAGCAAAGTCCAGCGGCCAAAGCTGTTCACGGCTTTCTCGGCCATGTCGCAAAAGACGACCAAGACGAAATCACCGGTTGAGACCCCAGACCGGCCAATCGATCCCAAGGAGATCGACCAGCACCTGGAGGCTATGCTCGACCGGCGCAACATCCCCGAGAACCAGCGTTACAAGATGCGGAACCTCGCCGACACGATCAAGATGGAGTTTATCCGCCAAGACTGGGCCGAGATGGCGGCAAAGGAGGCAGCCGGCAACGAAGGCGCCAACGAGCCAGCCTCTGCTGCGCCGAATGCGGGCTCAGACAAGGAAGAGGTCCCGCAGTCCAAACGCAGCAGGGGAAGGAGCTTCACCCTCTCACGCAAAAAGGACCAATCGGCGTCCAGCTCGCCGACGAAGAAGTCCAAGGGCGACTCCTCATCCATCGGCCGCCACTTCAGGAGCAAGTCGACGGAGAGCGTCACGAGCGAGCGGCCAGTGTCGGCGGCGAGCTCCACCGCAAGCAACGGCATTCTTTCTAAGATCAAGTTCGGCCAGGGGCCGGGCGACTATGTTTCGTATCTGCGCAAGGTGCAGAAGCCGGAACTCGTCGAGGTCGGGAAGCTACACAAGCTGCGCCTGCTGCTGAGGAATGAGACGGTCTCCTGGACCGAGGACTTCATCAAGCAGGGCGGTATGGAGGAGATTGTCGGGCTGCTCAACCGCATTCTGGCAGTTGAGTGGAGGTGCGTTTACCCTTTAGTGATGACTAGGATGATGGACTAACATGCAACAGAGAGGAACATGAAGATGCTCTCCTCCATGAGAACCTCCTCTGCCTCAAGGCCCTGTGCACCACGGCCCTGGCCTTGCAGTACCTTCACTCGATTCATGCCGACCTCTTCCCGAAACTTTTGCATATGCTATTCGACCCCGAGAAGAAGGGTCCAAGTGAATTTACCACGCGTAACATCATCACGTCAGTGTTATTTACATACATCGAGTCCGCCACTCCGCCAGAGCGTGTCGTCCGCGCCAAGACGATGCTCGGCTACCTGCGCAACCCCCAGCCCAAGGAAGAAGAGCGGCCCCTCGGCTTCGTTTTGGAGATGCGCAAAGACCGCCCTTATACCGTCTGGAACAAGGAGGTCGTAAGCGTCACCAAGGAAGTCTTTTGGATCTTCCTCCACCATCTGAACGTCATCGCCTTGCCCTCGGAAATGTCAACCAAGGGCGGCGCACCCCTGAGCGCCATTATCAACGGCAGCACTCCCGAGCCTTATGGTTATATGCACAGGCACTTCCCCTCGGAGCGCCCGCCCGTCCCGGCCGCTCCATACGTGGGTGGCGTGGAGTGGGATGCAACGAATTACCTCGCCTCCCACCTCGACCTGATGAACGCCATCATCGCCTGCACACCGACGGCGGACCAGCGCAACGCCCTTCGCAACGACCTCCGCATCTCCGGCTGGGAAAAGGTCCTCGGCGGCAGTCTCCGGCTCTGCAAAGAAAAGTTCTACGGCTGCGTGCACGAGGCCCTCCGCTGCTGGGTCGCCGCCGCCACCGAGGACGGCTGGGACGCGAGGGACGTCCGCTACGGCCCGCCTCCGGAGTCGCGGGGCGCTAGTCCCGCAAAGAAGAGCCCGGTCAAGAAGCCCGTCGAGCCCGCGCCCAAGATTGAGATCCCGAAGCTCGATTTCGGGTTGGACCGCCAGCCGGGACGGACCCCTGCCAAGGAGAGGGACGTCTGGCTGTCATAGGAACGCCGTCACTCCCCGAAAGAGTCACCCGGAAAACGCTCTCAACTATTGTACATCAGATGAATCCGGACCAAAATGAACAAACAGGATGGGGGAGAGAGCTGGCTTGACGTGGTCGGCTCCCCCCTCAGTGTCAGTAATGCCTCGAGAGCACCACCGCCCAAGGCCTATGGTCCCTCGTCATCCTCCGATTGGAGACGAATCGCGGCTCAGCCCGGCGCTGGCTCTGCTAGGAACACTTTTTTTTATTTGATTTGGGGAGATTGGGGGAGTTTTCATGTCGAGTGTGTTTTTGTCTCATGGTCTTTTGGTCTCTTCTCCCTTTTCCCCTCCCGCTTGGTTTCCTTCTACTGTGGGTGTGTGATGTGTGTGTGTGTGTCGTCTTGCATTGGGGTGTTGGGAACATTGGGCAGAGTTTGGTTTTCTTTTCCTTTTCCACTTTTTTTCTTTTATACAAACACACACACGCATGCACACGGAGAGGGACACAACGCCAACGCCAACGCCACCGCCATCATGCTGCCTAATGCTTCTCATGAAATGGGCAACGTTTATGAATTGATGATCATCATACATAGAAAAAGCAAAATTTGCGCCGTTCGTTTTTATGAATCTTGGGTTATTACTTTTCAATGTCGTGAGGTTGATGATGATGATGATGATGATGTATGGCACGCTGCGACGTGTAAGATGTCACGGTGGGAGTCAAGTTCAAGACTAATTGGACCACTGCTGTCGGGCTCAGTAATTGAAGGGTGACGATGCATGTACTGGCGTTCTCAAGTCGTTGGTCTTGTCTAGCTCCGTCACATCGCGGTCTCGGACGCCGCGCCGTGGCTGTCATTGGTACAGAGGTCCACGAAGACAAGCTTAGTGATTGTGATGGCGTTGTTTTAACTCTGTCGCCTGCCGCTGCTGCTGCTGCTAGACTGACGGATGACCTGCTACCTCTCTTGCGGGCTCGTGTGTACTCTGCCTTACTGTCGTCGCCATTTTTGTTTCTACCATCGTCGTCTCAACTGCTATTATTCTTCATCGAAATACAGTTGCAAGGGTACCTTACTTGGTACGCGGGAAAGGTAGCCGGGCAGATGCTAGGAAACCAGGCTGTCTCTAGCGAAGGGTTCGGTGAACATGCCTGTGACAGAGGACAGATGACAGGGCGGGTTTGGTAGTATCTACCCTAAACTTTGGGTTCTTTCGACTACTGCATGGTATCATGTCTGCCAGAGGATGTGATTAGACCAGGCTACGGTCCTCGACGACGATCTTTGCCACATCAACGCCTCTTTCTGCGAGCTACCGGTGCCTTCTGGGTTGGAGTTTATCCAGCCTACGAGACGATTACCCGAGCATCATGGGGCAGTGTTGATGGTCAGGCAAGAGAGCACAGACACGATAACGTCGGGAACGTTGAGCATTATGGAAGAGTTTACGTTACTGAAAAGCTGTACACGGCGGGACAGGAAGGCGAGGATACGGCACCCGAAAAGTGACAGTGATATCAATCTCGGCCCACTCCCCGGAACCATGAGTCGGAGGGATATTAACCAACCCGGGCCCATGTGATCAGGTAATCATGCCAATCGAAACTCTGTCAAGCGAGAGGAGCCTTTTTGTGTGTGCTTTTTTTTTCTTTGAGAGGGATTTTTTCCACGTCCTAGCGCCCAGGCCTCGATATTATTCCCGTCGCTGGGAATGTGATATCTGACAGGTACCCTGGAGACCCTGGTGTGTTGGAACCCGACGACGAGGGCCCAGATGCCGAATAAGCCGGCAACAGTCGGGGTTTTGGGTTTGGCAAAAGGGACCTTTGGGACTCGGTAGGGTTCATGGGATGGATACCAATACACAGAAAAGATCAGTGCGTTCCTTGGGGCACCGATGGGCGGGCAGGGGATATAGGGTTGTAAGCGGTCTTGGCTGGTTGGGCGGAGACGGGAGGTTTTTCGGGATGGACGTCTTTCCTTCAACTACCTCTTCGGGAGGTGATTAAAACAGGTCGATGACGGAGGATCAACGGCACAGGAGCGCGGTGACGGACACTCGAGCTCTGAATGGACAAGTCGGAGGTGGCTGGCGGGATCTCCTTCGTTCAGAGCATGTTTCTGTTGTCTGACCGCCTTATTCAAACACTTGACTGCATAATCCAATCATAACCTGCAGCAGTAGCGGACAGGAGCTAGAGGTTGCTCCGGTGAGCCTTGAAGGCGTCAAAGACGCTCGTGCCTTTCAGCACGTCTTCCTTGACCTTGTCGTCAGCTGCCGTCAGCTTCGGCAGGAGCTCCAACACCTGGTCGGTCTTGTCCTTGGGAATGACAACGACTCCATTGACTGGGTCAGCAAAAACGAGATCGCCAGGGTTGACGACTGTCCCGTCAACGGCGATTGGCACCTGGACTGCCCACGGCGAGCTCTCCGCCCCTGCGCCGACGGTGGACATGCCTCGCGACCAGATCTGCAGTCATTTAGCCACTGTTGGTGCTGTCCGCCCGGACGCAACATGAATCGACTCAACTCACGGGAAGGCCCGTACTGGTCAGTTCGTCCAGATCCCTCGCACGACCCACGACGACGACCGCCTTGGCTTGGCGGACCTTCATCCTGACGGCCATAATGCCCCCGCAGACGGCGTTCTTCTGACCATCGGGCTGCCTGATGATCACAATGGTTCCTGGCTCGGTGATGTCTGCCCAATGGGTGTCTTTGGGGATGTTGGCCGGGGGCGACTCCAGCTTTTCACCCTTCCTTGCAAATAGTATGGTGGACGCCGGTGCTATGGTAATGGGAGCATCTGCAGGGGTTGATTGGCCGAGGAGCTGGAGGTCGGGCAAGAATCCAGCCCCAGGGACTTTGAGCTTGACGAGGGCGTCTGATATGTCACAGGCGGTGTATTTCTGGAGAGCTGCGATGCGGGCATCTTCCGTGGCGGACATTATGACGTAAAGCGACCAATAGGCAACAACAGGTGGACAGCTGAAGAGGAAATGCGAGAGACGGCCGAGAAAGTTGGACTTTGGCAATGGCGTTATCAAGACAGCAGGATCGGTCAGGCGATATTGATAGCAAGTATTTGGAGAAGGATTCAGCAACAACAACAAGCGTCAACCATTGAATGGCGTTGTTGGCTCTCTGAAGTTGGCCGCGGCTACGGTACGGGGCTCGGGGATCCTCGACGCTCGGGAGCCGCCGAGGCAGTCGGTGCCCAATCAGAGGCGGTTCCAGAAGCCAGTGTGGACTTGCTGGAATGCAGGTTGGAGGCTTATGTTTGGTGGGGGAGACGGACGTGTGGAAGGCACGTTGCGGCAGGTTCGAACAGATGCAGTGTCTCCTTGGCGGGTGCGCGGCCTTCCAGGTGCTTCGCGCAATTGTTCCCTGCAGGGGCGTTGGTCGACGTTTGTTGCAGCAGCGTTGGCCTGGTAAAGGCGGCCTAGAGGGGAAAGCAGGCCGACGACTCCTCCGTTGTGGTGCGAGAGAGGTGACCCGACTTTGGTGCATTGGCTTCGAATAAGGCGCTGCTGAAGCAAGCGGTGGCCCGCTGCCCGTCAACCGGGTCTAGGGGACAGACGCGGACCGGAATAGAGTCCGGAAAGGCATAGGCGCGGGCGAGCACGAAGTGAGACTGTGGAGTTGGAGCGCAGTTGCAACTTGCAGCAGCATCGGGGGCTGCTGCACTGCTCAATTGGACATGACACACAAAGCCATTGGCGGATTATGTCCGAGAAACGTGTGTTGTGTGTTGCGAGCCGTTCTTGTGTAAGGTATCATCCGTCCTTGGCAAGCTTGACTGGGTGGTTGGGCGAGTCGCAACTCGGTGGTGGTGTAGGTGTAAGTGGGAGTGGTTTTGACACTGGCTGTTGATGGCAGTGAGGTTTGTATGGCGGGGGGAATGCGCAAAGTCGATATTCTGTGTGCGCTCGCTTCCCATGCAGCTCGCTGCGCCGCACGACGAGATTTTGTTGGAAGTATCCGTAGTCGAGTAAGCAGACGGGGAATCAGCCAAGCAAGGTCAACGAGTCGAGAGGTCGTCTTCGAAATGGACCGTTGCAAGTGTCCGAGATGGAGACTGTGGCCCGGGGAACGTCTTCCTGTTCCTGGAAGGGGGCGGGCAGAACCTGCACCGAGCAGAAGCAGAAGCAGGCGGACCGGCGGTCAAAGTTGGAACAGACGAATGAAGAGACGAAGAATGAGTTGGCTGGTCCAGGGCGGACTCGTCTGGATCCGCTGGTGAAAGTCGGGTACCTCTGAGGTATTAGATTTTACCTCGTTTGGTTGTGGGAGTTGCTGCGGCTAGATGGAGACGAGCAGCAACACACCCTGCAATTCCCGTCGTTGGCGGCCAGGAGCAGTTTGTCGCCCCTTCCTTTCTGTGCGAGAGCAGAGCCGAGCCGAGCTGAACTCAATGGCGGTGCAGGTACAAGAAAGCAATTGGACGGATTGGATCACGGGATGCAAGCAAGGCAGGGAAGAAGACTGACTGCCTTAGGTTCCTGCCTCACTTGCTTGCTCCTGTAGACATGGAAAGACCTACCTTACTACATACGTAGAGTCCATGTTCTTGCCTCCGAGAAGAAGAATCTTATCGTGCCGGCCTCACGTGGCGATAGGCGGACGCACCTGCAGCTCCACATGCACCGCACACTTCATGATTCCAAGCGGAAGTCACCACGGAGTGCAGGCAGTTGCAGTCGCAGTTGCTGTTGCAGTTGCACTTATCACATCCACCAGCAGGAGCAGCGGCTTCCCTTCCTCCCCTCCCCTTCCCTTCCTTTCCTTTCACAGAAAGAAAGCGGTTGCATCGGGTGTTGGCCAGGTGCCGCCCCTTCCATTTCGTGCCATTCATGGAGTAAGGTACATACCCAGGTAAGTTGTCCGTAGTTCTTGCCGTGACTTGAGGTAATCAAAAGCAAACGGAAACAACGATTCAATGGGCCTGTCTGGAGGTACCTACCTGGAATAGCTGCGCACGCACACCTTCGGTAAAGGCCAAAAAAGTAAAGGCAACTTCGAGTGCAGTGTGGTATCCAATCCAATCTCATCCCAGGACTTGCCGCGGAGGGTCTTCCCAGACAGAGTTCTTGACCGAGATCTCAAATGTGATGCGATTGCTGTCGCCCTCACCTCACCGGCCTGCAATCTGCAACCGCTGCACCTGGTCTTCTAAATCGACCTCGCCCATCATTGGCAATGCAACACTGGCCTCAATTTCTGGCCCTACCCCTCACCAACCACAACCAATCGCGCATCGACGGGAGATACCAGGTCGCCAGAGACTCCAATGACATGACACGGACTCTCGTCACTGGCCCCATCGACGTCCTCTCCTCCAGAGCCCGTCTGGTACCGTCAACCACCTCCAGTCTTGCTCCTCGACCTCCACTCAACCAGGGCCTGCTTACGCCCCCAGAGATCTCCGTTTGTTGCCGGGTTCTAAGCGGAACGACGCCCACGCTCACTCGCCAGGGACATGGACATGGACAAGCCCTTGGTGCTGGACATGCCCAGGGTCCAGTCCAGTCGACCAGTCACTGGATCGGCCAGCCATGTTGCCGAGCGAAACACCTCGTTGGCGCCCATGGCATGTCCCTCGCACTGCAACCGCAACCGTAAATCTGCCCCCATCATTGGAGTCTCTCTCCAACGTATGGCCCATCGATGGTGCATCTGTCCCAATGCCAATCGACATGTCAAGGAATGTCCCGGCCCGCTGAAGATCATCCTCGTGTCTGACGGCAAAACACTGGACGACAACCCGCTACCCCTACTGAAGAGTCTAGAGACCTAGAGAAGACGCAAGAGTTGAAAGGGCGTCGAGGGTTAAGCTGAACCTGCATCTGAACCGCTGCCATTCAATTTACGAGTCAGCACCCAGGACTCGGAGGCGCGCGAATTCTTTCTTTTTCCAAAACACGCAAAATGACTTGACAACTCTGGGATTTGTCCGCATGAGACAAGCCGCGCCACGCGTTGCGTCGGCTTGAAGGCGTTGGGGCGTCGATAGCCGCCACCTTACACTCGGAGGCCGCTACAGAAGCCTCAGGTCTAACACTAGACTTGTGCCCAATATCAGATTCCTCCTGGTGTCTCTTCGTCACCCCAGATTGGTATCTTCCCTCGCTATCAAGCCGTCATCCTCCTGCGTCGGGTACTTGTCGTCTGCCCTAGGACTTCGTGAGCTTTAGGCACCAAGACAGCGACGTCCCTGGATTCACATGACGGCCATCATCTCGGCGAATCCATCAGCGACATGGTTCACTTCCATTCTGGGAAATCCGACGAGACAAGCTAGACGCCCATGCCTTGGCACGAAGCAACAAACGGAAGCCTCCATTGACTGTCGTTGCAGTCATGGTGAAGTGCGGCTCACCGAGCCAATCCAGACGTGGCGGCGGCGACATCAACGCAATGCTATGCCATGCGACGGCCTGCACATGACGGCTGCCCCTCGCAGACCTTGTTTCAAGACGAGGGTTCCTGGCTCAAGTTGGGTGCGAAAGGATCGGCGCGTCCATCCCGAGGTCCCTAGTTCGCAGGCCATCGTACCTTTGCAGATACAGATACACGACAGAACGCCTACCTTCGGTCGGTGCGGATAGGTAGTCGCGACATGTTGTCTCCGGTTCTGCGGTCTGCGGTCTGCGGTTACTGTTGCGACAAGGCCTGCCGGGTATTGGAGATTAGAGATCCCAACCCCAAGTCATGACGCCGTCCTCGGTCCTTAGTCACGTCTTATTATCACGGCAAGCAATCAACATGGACATGGCTCCCCGGGAGAAGGGACGGGGCAACTTGAGCACCTTTTCCACAAATGCGCCGCCAGGCAGGTTGGCTGCGGTTCGACTACCACGCAGGACGTCTGGATCAGATCAAGTACAGACCACGGGCGCTGTCGATTGGCCGGCTGCAGGGACGACGTCGCCTCAAGCTCCGCATCTCACCAAAATTGCATTAACAACGGACGTGGGACGCCATGTATGTTGCTGCAGACGCAGTGTGCGCGCACAGGCACAGAAGCCAGCCCAGGAGGAGACACAGGATAGTGGCCGCTACAAAAAGTAAAGTCTCCCAGGTTCTGCGCGTGCAGCGGTCGCACAGAATCGGCCCAGCCAACCCCGGCCAAGCGCCCAGCCTATTCGTCCAGATTCTCTGGGCTGCAGCAGTTCTGACCAGCAGGGCCCATGTCGCTGGCACCTCGTCCACACCTCTCTCGCTGCAGCTGCAGCTGGCGGACGAACGAGAAGGATTCTATTCGCACGGATACCAAACTCTCCATCATTCTTCATCTGTGGAAAAAGGTTGGGGACAAGCTGGGGCAGTGACTTTTCAGAGAGCTTCTACTGCCAAACAAACTCTGGGACGCAGTAAGCAGGCAGGCAGAGCGGTAGATGGAGAGAGAGAAAAAGATGATATGTCGGGAGCAAACAAGTGACAACCAAGCACCAGGCATCAAACAACTACCAGTCGATTAATGTCGTCGTCACTTCCCGTCCATGCCGTAAAAATCCAAAGCACGGTGCCGCAGCCAACATTCTCCAGATTTAGACCTAGAACCAGACCCAAACCCAGAACCTTCAGACCAAGACCCCCGACCCAGACAAACAGAATCAGAAAGACTCAGCCATACAGAGACACCAGCCAGTCACCTCAACCTGGGAGCACTACCCACGCCCTCCGTCCCCATTGGATCCGCCCGTTCTGTGCAGTCTTCCGTCCGGGCACCGCTACCGCTGTCTATCCGGGCAGCATTCGTTCGTACCGCCAGGTACTTCTCGTCTCCTCCCTCACCTGGTCCCGTCACCTCCAACAAGGGCACGCACTCGTACATCACCTTGTCACCTTGTCGACCTTATCCGCATCCACGCCCATCTCACCTCAGGTTGATGAGCGTCGACTGCTACAAGCTTGCCTGCCCGCCTGGCCATCCCATCCCATCACACCATTGTTTTGTCTGTCGCGGCACCTGCCCCCACCTCTATTACCTACGCATCCGAACTTCCCCAGCCACCGTCGTCTTACTAGCAGCTTCGGACTGTCGCCCTTCTGAGGCCTAGAGGGGCAGACAGACACACCACCTACTAGCAGGCAGAGCAGAGCAGTACCTCATCCAAACGTCTGCCTTGTTCCAACCTCAACTCCTACTGGCGCTGTTTCTCCAAGTATCTGTGTACCTGCCTACCTCTATACCTCACGGCTCACGCAACTAACCCTGCCGGCCTTAACCCTACCATACCTTACCTTGCCGACCTGACTTTCACCTTGCCTTACCTTGCCCTCTTTATCCGCAGCTACCTGGCGCTATCGACCGGCCTCTGCTTCCTCCCTCTCTCAACCTGTATCAGAGTCCAAGGCCCTTCACCACCACCCGCCAACGCCGCCGACGCCGCCGACGCCGCTGCCCAGAACGCGGCACCACGCCCACTGCTACTAGGTACCTCCCCTGTGCCTCAGGGATCCACCCCACCACAAGCATCCAGATCTCCGAAGCTTCTCTGCAAGCCCTGCCGCTACCGACCTTGCCCACTCCCACGCAACCCTCAACTCGCTGCTGAGACGAACTAGGAAGCTCTGCGCTGCAGCTGCGAGAGCCGTTCCCCTTCAAAATGTCAATAAAGTACGTCCCTCCGTGTCCGGTCCTGTCCTATGCCTCTACTCCTGCTTCTGCCTCTGCCTCTGCCTCCCCTTCACCCTTCCGTCCCACGCCGCCCAAGCCCCATCACCACGCCGGCATCCCGGTCAGAGTCCGTGGTACCCCGCCGTCGACCTTCTCTGCTCGCTCTCCCACCCCACACTGTCCCCGTCCACCATGACGGACCAGTATCTGCAAGAGCAGCATGCCCTTACCATTGCCCGCACCGTCCAGAGGGAACGAGAGCTCGCCCAGGCCCGACTGGATTCTGACCATGGCGATAGTTGGGTCATGATCACCCAGACGGGTGATATCAACCCTCTACCTCACGAGCACATCAGACACAGGTCCAATGCGAAAATCAGCCTCGACCTGTCTGTACCCAAGGCTTTGCAACAAGGCCGGACGCCATTCACGCAAAAAAGCAGTGACGGGACGGTATACATCACAACGCAACGGGTACGTATTTCGCGATGGCCTCCAAGACATGGCGCTGGCTGACGAGCTCTTTCCAGGTTATCTACATTCCCGCAAGGCCAACCCCCGAGTTCAAGTCGTTTCACGCGCCTATCCTCAACTGTGTCGACACGTATGTGGGCTCGCCATTCTTCGGCGCGTGGTACTGGTCTGCCACCGTCGTGCCGGTCCCGGGAGGTGGCGTACCTGCCGACATTCCGAGGGTCGAGCTGAAGCTGAGCTTCAAGGAGGGAGGGCACAGCGAGTTCAGGCAGAGGTTCGAGGAGCTGAAGGAACGATTGGAGCACGTCAGGCGACTACAGCAGGAGACGGGGCAAACGGTCAACATCCCGGACGAGCCGCTGCCGGCCTACGAGGCGACGGAGGGTGGAGGCGCCGAAGCGTCGAGCAACCTCACCCCTCAGCAGCCGGTGAGTAGGTCAGCAAGCTCGGGCAGCCAGAACCGACGACCGGACGAGCCGCCACCAGATTACGACGAGGCGCAGGCGCAGACGCTCAGCATGCGACTCGAAGATCACATTCGCGAGGAGTCGGACAGATCATGATGGGTTGCCGGGACGGCTCACGACTAACGTTTTGCATCGATACCTTGCTGTATTCCGCTCCCTACAGAATTGTACTTTTTTCGTTTTACTTTCCTTCTCCTGACAGCATCTACACTAGCGGCGGCGGAACCTGTGTTTCTTAACGAACATCAAAGTAGAGAATGGATATGGCCAAGCAGACGGTGCATGCCCCAGGGCAACTGGCACTTCTATTGTATGTATGGTGACTTGTAAGAAATAGCTGGTCGGGGCTGCCACGACCGGCTCTAACATTGGAGCTTGTACGCAAGCATGCGCGACCACGCGATAAGATTTCCTGTCTGGGCCGCGCTGCGCAGCGTTCTTCATGTGACGATGACAGTACATAGCTTGGAGCTTTGAACCACGCAAAAACTGAGGCGCGAAATGCAGTGCATCCAAGGTGGTGGCAGCTGGCGAGTGTTGTGGCTGGCGCTGCTGGTCTTCTGCGCTTGTGGCTGCACCTCAACTTCCCGCTTAGTCATTCGTCAATGAGCCATTCCACCGCAGCCAATCAAAAACGACCAATTGGGAATAACTTACGAGCCGATTCAGACACCCAGTTTTCGTCCTCAACCAGCCGAAAGCCCCCGACCACCTTTTCCATCCACCCCATCTACGACGACATCACGTCAAGCCATTGAGTGAGCCGCACAACCTCTGCCACAATGGGTATCTGGGACACCATCACCGACCTCGCCGAGGCCGCCATGCCGTGGGCCACCGTCGAGGCCGAGGCTCCTGCCGCCGAAGAGGTGAGAGAAAAAAAAACACCAGAGACGAACTTTCTGCGCAAATTGCTGCCGTGGCCCGGAGTGAAAGGGCGACCCTTGCGGTTCTCGAACGATCTCGATCACGCAGGCTGCGGCAGCTATTTCGTGCAGTTACAGTGCTACAGGGCATCCGCTAACCACGTCCGCAGGAGGAGACCCCCGCCGAGGAGACCAAGGACGACGAGGAGGAGGAAGAAGAGGAGGAGGAGGAAGAGGAGGACGATGACGAGGTCGTCGATCCCAAGGACACCATCGAGGAAGGTCGGTTTTCCTACCCCGCCCCCCGCGGTCGAACCCGAATCTACGCATCGCGATATCAGTCGATGACGCACATGAGCAATTTTGCGTACATGCCGCAATATCGACGCGGACGTCATCGGACCACCGCGCAGACGGGCTGAAAACACCACATCGCATTGGAGGACATGAGAAATGCTGACATTTGGGCGTGTGCAGCGTGCAAGGAGTCCAAGGCTTGCGCACCGGCCAAGCACCACTACGACGAGTGCGTCGAGCGCGTCACGGCGGCCGCCGACTCCGAGGACGGTGCCCAGGAGGACTGCGTTGAGGAGTGTAAGTTGCGAGGCGGATATTCAATGAGGCCTCGGAAACGTCAAGAGGCCGTCAAACAGGATCATAGCTGACATGTCTCCCAGTCTTCCACCTCGCCCACTGCGCCACCCAATGCGCCGCCCCCAAGCTCTGGGCCCAGCTCAAGTAAACGTGCCTTCGCATGTCACGATAATCAGCGGTCGTCGGCGAAGTTTCATCTCACAGTGTCGGTTATGACGATGCCAATGGGAGCGGCATCGGCATTTAGATCTTGATAGAAGGTGTGGGCCGCAACGATGTGAAGACGTGGTGGCGGATGCCGCGACGAGACGGAGACGACCGTTTTAGCAAAGCACAATGTCGGTCCCGCCTCCTCCCCTCCCCCGCCGGCGGGATCCGACAAATCTGTATTGCAATAGGTGTGTGCGTCGAGCTTGGCCTGCGGCTCTGTTACGGGCCCGGCTGGTTTGATGCGGCGCCAGTACCCCTTGTCTTTTGTACCATAGGCATCGCCCGCAATAGATTCCTCTTGATTTACTCGCGGCCATGTGGATGGTGAGGAGCAGCATCGCCGAGGCCGTTGCTCTTTGTCATCATGGAGCAGGGTTGCTCGGCGCCTTCGTGAGATGAGATGATGATCCATCATCAGTGATCACTCGATCAGCTACAAATTGAGAAGGACGACTTGTAAGTTGTTGACTTGGCATGAGACGTTGTCCGCGATGAGATACCACGACTGCAAGACCGAATCTGGAAAGTCGTATGATTGCCTGGAGCGGCTGCAGAAGGTAGATCCCTTCAGCGTAAGCCCAGATGAGCATCAATGGCGCGATGAAGGAGCGAAGAAATGGAGCCGATGGCAGGGCATCTGCTGCCCTGCGGCAAAGCACCGCAACGATGGCCTCTGTCGAAAGAATCCTCACCCCAAGACTCCTCCCACCGTATCTTCAAACTATGGGCATGTTCATTCCTGATATCAATCATTCTGCAACGACCTCCAGAATAAAGCAACTGCATATCGACAGCACCAATAGTTCCCGTCGTAGCAATGGCGCACAGAGTCCAGACCAGGCACATTGAAAAAGAACTTCAGTCTTCGGCAAGCCTGCCGTTCCCTGCTGACCCTCCCCCCTCCGTCCCTCCGCCCGGAACCCTCCCCAAAAGCGATCAAATCGGCCGAGAAGCGGGCCAATCACGCAAGCCGGCCCCCCGGTCTCGTTCCCCGCAATGTCGAGCTGGTTATGCCCGTTTAGGCCCGTCGCAGGACTTCGGTTCCAGCCAACGGACGTCTTCTGCGACGGGGCCATCTGACGCCCCAATCTCCTCGGCTCTGAGTGTGCTGGTGGTGGTGGTTGTGCTGTTCTGCAGGTGGTTTCATTACACGACATGTGAAGCGTGAGCATCTTATCTCTCTCTTCCAGCCCGCTCACACACTGCGAGGAGCTGTCTAGCATTTTGGGTTTCTGGCAGCGGTTCGAGTGTCTTTATGCAGCGGTTCGTGTCAGCGATCATGGTCCATCCCCCTTTCGCATGAACATGAACCGACCCAAAAGCCGTTCCGCCTCACTTGTGGTTCTGCGGTGGTCTGTTTTACAATGACAGCCATTTTAGCGCCGCCCCAGAACGCTCTTTTTACTTACGAAATCGAATCGCAGTCTAATTGAGGGAGAGGCGAGGTGGGTTCGAACCGGGCGCTAGGTCCCCTGGTGAAATACAGATTCCCAACTTGGAGCGCAACCGTCCGGAACGTGCTGCTGCTGCGGGAGAGTGGGCGAACCAAACCAACCCGTCTCTCTATCTGTCTACCTGTCTGGATGTATGTATGGATATGTATGGATACCGTACACTATGCTTCAGCCGTCTCGGTTCCAGACTCTGTCAATGTGCATATCGCTATTCTGCCCAGCGCTCCCATGGATCATCTCGGCTACATGTGCAAGACTATTCCCATACCAGTACGCTTCCCCCGAACAGTCAAGACCACAGATGGGATGCAACACCAACAAAAGCACCATGCAACTGCAGGGCCCTTTTTTCACATCATCCCCCCTTCCCCCTCCATCCCCTGTCCATCTATCTTCAGCCCTTTTTAAACACCTTTATCACCCAACCCTCCCATCCTCTCTCTCTTGGCCTTCCCTCCCCCCTCCGGCTTGCTTCTCCCATGTTTCCCATCGCCATCTGCGCCGGGAACCCCATCTCCCGCCCCCCTCCACGACGCGCCGACCCAGAACTCTGAGACGAAGGCCAACATCGGACGCACGCAAAGTCAAGGGGAGAAATCGAAAAGCGCACTCAAGGACCACCCCCGCCAAGACAAGCCTAAGCTCATCTCCCGCGCCCGCGCCAATCCACCGCCCTAAAGGACCCCCCCTCCCCTGCTTTAGCAGTCGACCGCGGCCTAGGCTCAGACCCAGATTCCGCGTCTTGAAAAATGCCCTTCTCCCTCCGTCCCAAGACCTCAAAGGTCTCACCCGCCACCGACGACAACAACATCACCGACGCCGCGACGACGACAATCACGCAGCAAGACGCCTCGATCACGACGTCCGAAGCGGAGAAGAGGACCGCAGCGATGCCGAACAGCGGCCTCCGCCCCGCCGGCCCCGGCTTCGGCAAGCTGGGCGACGAGGAGTACGAGCTGCGCAATGTGGACACGCCCGGATCCCGCGACAACGCCCCCGGCGCGGGGCACCACCAGCAGCCCTACTCCGATGCTGTCGCCGGCGGCGACGACAACGGGTCTGTCATGGAGGGCACGGCGACGGAGTACCGCACGTACAAGCGCCGCTGGTTCGGGCTGGCGCAGTTGACGCTGCTGAATGTCATTGTGTCGTGGGATGTAAGTGTTTCTCATGTTGTCTCTTTACACTCATCTGCCGTCTCAGACACGGGGATCGATGCATCGTGATTCGTGCCTGCGCAAGCCACATCTACTTAAAGATCTCACCTCACTTGTAACCGAGTAAGAGCATAAACTAACCCATCACAGTGGCTCACCTTCGGCCCCGTCGCCTCCACGGCCGCGACGTACTACAACGTCTCCGAGTCCGCCATCAACTGGCTCTCCACCGCCTTCATGTTCGCCTTCGTCGCCATCTTCCCGCTCACCATCAAGATCCTCCACCGCGGCCCGAAACCCTCCTTCATGACCGCCGCCGCCCTCATCCTCATCGGCAACTGGGTCCGCTTCGCCGGCTCCCACTCCAAGTCCCCGACGGGCGGCAACTTCGGCGTCGTCATGTTCGGCCAGATCCTCACCGGCCTCGCCCAGCCCTTCGTCCTCGCCGCGCCCACCCGCTACTCCGACCTCTGGTTCACCACCCGCGGCCGCGTCGCCGCCACCGCCCTCACCTCCCTCGCGAACCCGCTCGGCGCCGCCCTCGGCCAGCTCATCGTGCCCTTCTGGGTGTCTTCGCCGTCTGACATGTCCAACGGCGTGCTCTACGTCTCCATCATCTCCACCGTCGCCGCCCTCCCCTCCTTCTTCATCCCCGCGCGCCCGCCCACCCCGGTCGCCCCCTCCTCGCGCACCCTCAAGCTCGGCATCCGCGAGTCCTTCGCCATCGTCTCCCGCTCCCTCGAGCTGTGGCTCGTCCTCGTCCCGTACGCCTTCTACGTCGGCTTCTTCAACTCCGTCTCCTCGCTGCTCAACCA